CCCTTTCCTCTTAAATCTCAGCAATGGTTCTCCACTGTCCTAAGGCATCAGTTTTAAAAATCTGGTTCCAATGTATTTCTCCTCTCCTCTCAGTCTCATCCTACATTAGGCTTCCTTTCCAGACAGCCTGTACCTTAGAAGGAAGGAAGGAAAAGAGGGCAGGAAGGAGGGAAGGGAGATTTCCTGAAGCCCTGGAAGCGACATAAGCCTCAAACTGCCACCAAAATAATTTTCTTAATGTTCAATCTGATTATACCATTTCTTAGCTTAAAACCCACAGTGTGCTAAGAAAGATAATGTTTAACCTTGTTACTAAAGCCTTTTGATATGAGGTACTCAGCCTGTCTCAGTTCCCATTAATATAATCACACTCTACTTGCATGGGTCACTACTCAAACTTACCCATTCTTTCCTTGCTTCACGTTGTTGCACAATCTCTTCTCTCTGACCCCCATTCCCCTTGTCAAATCATATTCAACTTTGAACTACTGCAAATGCATCCTTACCCACAAAGACCTCTATGATCTTCAGCTAGAACTGTATATCCAGTCTCTGAACTCCATAATGTTAACCCTATAACCTTGTTTTAGATTGGTGATTCTCAATCCTGGTTATTCCTTAGAATCAGCTTAAAAGCATTTTAAAAATACTGGTAACCAGATCCCACCACCACTGAGAATGCACAGCCTAAGTACTGGCATATTTTTAAAACTGACCGGATGACTGTGATATCAAGCCAGGTTTGAGAACCACTCTACATAAAAGTCTTTGGTGTACACTACTTTCTCTAGTGGAACAAGAGGGTCCTGACTTATCTTCATAATCATCGTATCACCATACACACAATACTATTCAGAAAATGACAGAAAATGGGGGGGTGGGGGGGTGGTGCAGAGAAACAGGAAAAAAGATGAATTCACAACATTTCAAAACTTAGTAACTAAACTTGAAGCCTTAGTCTCCTAAATTCCTGGAAGAAATGATAAGGGTGCTATCATTTGTATCACCTTTTAAAAAAATTCTCCGCTACAGTATTAAAAAAAAAAAAAAAGGCAGGCAAAAATCCCATTACTATTGAAGGAGCCACTTTGTCTTGGGGGAAGAGATTATTTCACATCATCTGGAAATCATACATTTACGTAAACTTAAGACTCTAAAATATTTGCTGTAGAATACATTTCGGTTTCTGAGATGGGGTAAGAAAGACCTCTGTCAATCACAGATAAGAAGAAAAGAAGGAAGTAGTAAATAGATCCTGAAAAAGAATTCTGGGCCGGTCCCTAGCTACCCAGAAAATTGTGGAAGAGGGAAGAGAAGCATTAGACTCAACTTTGGAAAAGAAATTATGCTCACATTTCTTAATCACAGACTAAGAGGGTATAAGGCTATAGGAATATTAGAATAACCTTAATCAAAGATAAGACAAAATGCTGTATGTTTAAAAAGAATTTCCAACTAATGAACAGTTTGGGAAGTTCTGAGAATTTCTGTAACCCATCTGAAATAAAGCTTCACTGAAATCATGGATTGCTATCTATTTTTCTAAAGAACTGCTGTATTCAGATATAATTCAATACCATTAAATTACATTTTTAAAGCGTACAATGCAATGTTTCTTTAATATAGGCAAAGGGTTTTTCAGCTCTTAGCGCTACCTAACTTCAGAACACTTTCTTCACTCCATAAAGAAACCACATAACCTATCATCAGTCACTCCCCTAATTCCTCTTCTCTGTCCCAGGCAATCACTTTTCTGTATATTTGCTTATTCTAGACATTTTACATAAATGGACCTTATAATGTGTAGCCTTTTATGTCTGGTTTATGTCAAATTGCATCACGTTTTCAATTTTATTTTTTTATATTGTCAACTTATAGTACATTGCATGGATATACTATATTATGTAGTCAATTATTTAGTAATAATTTATTGAGGCTTTGGGGATCTTACAATAAAAAAGGACTTGTTTTTAAGAAATCCTGATAGCTCAGTTGCTAAAAAATCCACCTGCAATGCAGGAGACCCCAGTTGTTCGATTCCTGGGTCGGGAAGGTCCCCTGAAAAAGGGATAGGCTACTCATTCCAGTATTCTTGGGCTCCCCTTGTGGCTCAGCTGGTGAAGAGCCTGCAATGTGGCAGACCTGGGTTTGATCCCTGAGTTGGGAAGGTCCCCTGGAGAAGGCAAAGGCTGCCCACTCCAGTATTCTGGCCTGGAGAACTCCAAGGACTGTATAGTCCATGGGCTTGCAAAGAGTCGGATACAACTGAGCAACTTTCACTTTCACTTCAAGAAGTTTTAAAAGGTGGGAGAAGGTGAGGGTGGGATGTTTCGAGAGAATGGCATCGAAACATGTATATTATCTAGGGTGAAACAGATCACCAGCCCAGGCTAGATGCATGAGACAAGTGCTCGGGCCTGCTGCACTGGGAAGACCCAGAGGAATCGGGTGGAGGGGGAGGTGGGAGGGGGGGTCGGGATGGGGAATACATGTAAATCCATGGCTGATTCATGTCAATGTATGACAAAAACCACTACAATACTATAAAGTAATTAGCCTCCAACTAATAAAAATAAATGAAAAATAAATAAATAAAAATCAAAGGTGGGAGATAAAGAGAATAACATATCAATGACAGACTTAAGAAACTGATGGAACACAGAATTCAGAATGAAAAATGAGGCTGGGAAAGACAGACAAGAGCGATCACAAAGGGCCTGGTGCCATGCCAAGTGATCTGGACTTACTGCTCTACGCAAAAGAGAACCTCCCTTCAGAAAGTCTTCCCCCTGCCACTTCCTTTTGTCTTATCTTCCAACTCCTACAGACAGAAACCCAAACCATAAACATACACACTCACACTCATCTCAACTAAATAAATTACTACCCATTCTTCAAAGCACCCTCCACAAAGCATTCTCTGATCATCCTGTCAAACAACTCTAATGGGACCTTTTTCACAGTATTTATCATACACTGATAAATGCTAATATAACTGCAATTATCCCTGCTGAAGTGTGATCTTCATAAAAGCAAGGATAGTATCAGTATTTCTGAAATCCAAGCAGTATAAATGCTGAATGAATACATGGGAAAAAATGCAATAGATTTGGCAAAAAGTAGATCTCTAGGAGGATGAGAACACAGAATGGCCAGTTTCGGTGAAGAATCTGGGTGTGGAAGTAAAAACAGAGAATGTTGATGGAAGCAGCACAAGCCTGGGAAGATGAACGAGGTCACGGGCAGCGAGAAGTAGAGAAACAGAAGGGGTGATAATGGCAAGTGAGTACCTGCCACGCCATGTACCAGACAAAATACCAGTGCTTTTGTACATTTAATTTTTTCAACAGCCTACGAGATAGATATTATTAGCCTCATTTTACAGGGAAAGAAACAAGTTTGAAGAAGGAAACAAACAGTGGCAGAAGTAGGTTTCTACAACTTATGTTTATTTGCAAAGGCCATGTGCATTACTCTCTGCCATATGCCACCCCCTTTTATAACTGTGCTTGGGATTGCACGAGCACGTTTAACTGTTTTTTACTTTTGACATGAAAATACACAAGTATGTAGCTGACTGATTATATCCTGAAATCCACCAAAACTAAGTCACACTAACTATGAATAAATTCCACAGTCAAACTGGTTAAAAGGGACACTTGCTCATTACTCTCAAACAGAAATATCCACGAAAGTTTCCTCATCTTGCTGTCAATAAATAAGCTGTGTCTTAAAAATTATATAAGGCTCCTTTTAGACATGAGTAGAATGTTACACAATTTACTAAATCTAAACAACTTTCATTATTTACCCCAAGGCTAACTCAAAATTTGTCCTATAATTGAGAGAAGCATTTTAAACACAGCATTATAACTAAAGGCAAGTGTCAATAAATAGTTTAAATTCAGTATTACTGCAACAGATAAGAATATTATTTTTCATAATATCTGTATTTAGCAGTTACTATTTAGATGAGGATTTTTCATAATACTCACTTACTATAGCTTATCATGAAATTTAATAATGCATAGCATGTGTATTTAATGGCAATATAATTAGCAAGTGAAGTACTGGTTTAGTGATATTATTGCTATGTGTATTTAACAATTACAAATAGGGAAAAAAGTTTAACTCAAAAACTTGCCTCTTTGAAAAGCAAATAATGCACTGTGTTACAAAACAAATGCACAAGCACAAGCAAGATTGGAGTATCATCTACTCAATAAAAAGTGCCCCCAAATCTATGTCACTTGAAACAAAAAAGCTGCAGCAGGCAAAAGAGCTCCTCGATTATTTCTTGCTTTTCAGAGTGAATGCAAATGATATTAAAGACTTTTGTATGACTTTTACCAATTATAATTTCTATGTTGAAAAGTTTGTTTTTAAAGACACAAACTGGGGCTAAATCTTGGAGATTATAGTCAACGGAGCTATTTCTGCCTGCCTACACTTGAGAACTCACCACATGTTCAACACTTTCTGGCAGCTAAACACAAAAAAAATAGAAGGAAAAAGAGAGAGAGAGATATCATCAGAAACTGCCCACAGTGAAATTATCACATTGTTTTCATGCTTAATTTTTTTCCAAGCAGAATTATTATAATTTTAACAAAAAAACAACTAATTTAAAACTAGTATTAATACATGCAGCATACCACAAAATTAATATTTTTATGTTTACAGAAAAACATATGCCTCTAAAGTATAGCAGTAATTTTCATGCACTGAAATTCCTAAAACTAATAAGCTAAAAACATGCTATTAACTCTAAATAAGAATTTGAGCACAGTTCTTAAATAACTATTTTTGTATTATTAAAATGTTTACTGAAATAGCACTATTTAAAACTTAGTGGTTAAAACAATTAAGTATACCAACTTGTTTTGCATGCACCTATTCCTTGAAAAAAATTTCCTTAAATAACTGCACATGACTGTAAGTCTCAAACATGCACAGTTTAAGGAAAAAAAGTGACTAAATCAAGCAAAACCAATACATACTTGGTTTCATCCATCACCTCTACTTCTGTAGGGGCTGTGATGGGTGCGTTTGAACGTCCTGCAGTAGGGTCATCTGTGTTTAATTCTCCATTTGTAGAACTTACAACCTGCAAAAAAGAAGAAGAAAAAAATATATATATACACACACACACACAAAAAGTAATGTTATACAATGATAAACATAATTAAAGTATTTAAATTAGAAAGTTAATATGAAGAACACAAAACAATTAGTATGTAGTTGTTCATAACTAAATATACTAACAGGTCTACATTAAAGATAAAGTCATTCAACACTTGCTTTTCAACTTACTTCCTGATCATCTCGAAATTTCTGTCCTATCTGCTGTCCTCTGGTTTTTAAGGCTAATGCAGTCAGTTCCCTTTTGGGTACTCATCTCCTTTGGTACTTCGCTACATCATGAATTATTTCCTTTGGAAACTTTAATTGTTCTTCCAACAGATCCTCCGTTTCAGTCGGTAATCATGCTCAGGTCTCGCCCTCATTTTTGTCCATTCATTCACCCAGTTTTTCAAACCCCAAATCTAGGCATCACTGTGATTCCTCTCTTTGACATAAACCATCAGCAGATTATGTTAAATCCTCCCTGACACAAACCCCAAACTTAACTGGTTCTCCCCATTCATAAGACTACTAGAACCGTAATCCAAAGCACCACTGTCTCTTGAATTGAAGAAGAGCAAAAACCGATCAACTGGTCAGCTTTTATTTATATCTACCTCCCATTAATGGATTGTCCACATAACAACCAAGATGTCCCTTTAAGATGTAAATTAGGCAACATATAACTCTCTGCTTAAAACTCTTATGATGTCAACTTTATGGTTTCATTTGAAATAAAGATCCATATCCTTTACTCCAATTTACAAAGTCCCACAAGATCTCAATCCTATCTACCCCTTTGATCTCATAGCACCTTCCCTTTGTTCATTAGCTTCCATCCAACATCAAGCTTATTTCCAGCTAAGACCTTGGCATTATCTTTTCTCACTCCCTGGAATTCTCTTCTTGCTTACTGGCTGTTTTCTTGTCTTTCAGATTCTCAAAGAGTAGAATTTTTTTCAACATATAATCTAGAACTTCTGTGCAGAACACTCTTACATGTTATACTTCATTTATAATTCTTTGTATAGCATTTATCAATATTGATGTTTTTCTGACTGACTGACTGATGAGTTTCTTAATACCCACCCCAAACTCCATTAAAACTAAGCTCCATAACAGCAAGAGCCTTCTGTTATTTCCGGAGAGCTCTCCTCACTTCTATGTGGCACAGAACAGGCACTCAATAAATATTTATTGGAATAAATGAATATATGCATGCATATAAGAAAGCTTGAAGAAAGATAAAAATCATAACACTCCCAAATTCTCTTGGTCCAACAAAGTCTCTCTACTGTCCTATCTCTTGTTTTCCTCTAAATGTAATAAAAAACAATCATCTTAATTTACCACTTAAATTTTTATAAAATTCCCCATTTTTAACTCCCCCCAATCTATACTCTGACCGTATATCAGAACTCGCATTGAGGTTTTTTTTTGAGGGTTTCCAGTAGTTCCTAAAAAGTATGTTAGTAGTCTTTGCTCAGTCTTCATTTGCCTGGACATCTCTATCACTTGGCACCAGCTAATGACTTTGAAGTGAGACAGAGCTAGATTCAAAACCTAGTTCTACCACTTACCACTTATGTGACTCTGGGAAGACACCTTACCTTGCTATACCTCAGTATTCTCAACTATGAAATTGGAAACCGAAGTTTTCTGTTTAATAAGGTTTACATGAATAGGAAATAAAATTAATATATAAAATACAGTGACTGGCATATAGTAAGAGTTCAGCAAATGGTGGCCATCGTTATTACCATCAGTCTAACCTAAAGAATGGCTTCAACTATTACTTTTATGAAAAGGATTCCCCAAGCCTAACTGCTCACCTACATGGTTAGTTAGCTAGATCAAGTTTGGCATCTCGTTATTTCTAAAACCAAATATATCATATTCCTTCTTAAATCTGTTACGTTTCCTATAGTCCCTACATTTACTAAAGCCCTACCCACTTCCCAGACCTCCAGGCTCAAAACCTCAGAATCATTTTTGATACTTTCTATACGTGATCTCTTTATGATGTAACAAAAGTCTAAGTATCAGAGTTGACAGGTGACTAGTAGGCTTAACACTTCCATTTACTGAGGCCTGTATATTTCTTTTTTTTTTTTTTGAATCTGATACATATTTTATTTTATTTTATTTTATTTTTTTAAGTCAGGATTAAAAAGGCTTTATTCTGACTGTTATATAGTCATATTTCATAGATCAGTATTTTACTTTCTTCAAATCAGTAATTCAAATCATCTCTCATTATATGCAATTTATTCTTTTTTCTTGCATCTTTTGAAAGTTCTTGGACATTGCAGTATTTAAGGTCAAATTATTTTTGAATATCTTATGTACTTTAACTCATCAAGTGTATAAATAATAATATCTGTAATACAAATATCTTTTCCCCAATAACAATATTAAAGAAACAAATTTAAAAAAAAGAAAAGAAACAAATTCACAGAGTAATATAGAAGACAGTGATACAGTCATATACCTTTCCTACTAATCATTGAAAAGTATGTCTTTCGCATATACCATTGTAATCCAATTTATGAAATCATTTCCTTCAAAGAACACAGTCTAGAAAAAGTTTTAGATGACCCAAAGCTTTTGTCAACATAATTTGATAAATGTCTTCATTGAGGATGTAAAGAGATAATGAAATACATTAGATAACAGAAAATTATATAAGGTACCAAGTCACAATAGCTGTATATCTAAATCTTTTTTTTTTTTACCAGACAAAGTAAATTTTATTTTTTCTTTTTTTTTTTTATTTTTTTCATTTATTTTTATTAGTTGGAGGCTAATTACTTTACATCATTGCAGTGGTTTTTGTCATACACTGAAATGAATTAGCCATGGATTTACATGTATTCCCCATCCCGGTCCCCCCTCCCACCTCCCTCTCCACCGGATATTAAAGGATCTTCTCTAGACAGGAAACACAGAAAGGCCTGTATATTTCTAAAACTTAAATTCCAGGCTTCCACGGTGGCTCAGTGGGAAAGAATCCACCTGCCAAAGCAGGAGCTATGGGTCCAGTCCTTGATCCCAGGAAAATCCCACATGCTGCTGAGCACCTAATGCCATGCACCAGAGCTACTGAGTCTGTGCTCTAGAGCCTGGGAGCTGCAACTGCAGAGCCCATGTGCTGCAACCACTGAAGCTCAGGCACCCGGGAGCCCACACTGAGCAGCAAGAGAAGCCACCTCCCTCGCACCACAGCTGGAGAGCAGCCACTGCACACTGCAACTAGATGAAAGCCTGCGTACCAATGAAGACCCAGCACCGCCAAAAATATTAGGTAAAATTATATAAAAAGTTTAAGTCCTAAAAGGCAACAACAGGCCAAGCACTGTTCTAGGAGCTTGGAATACCAGAGTAAACAATACAGAAAAACATCCCTGTCCTTGTAGACTTAATAGTCAGTGTAGAGAAATAGGCCCTCTCCACCAACTCAAGGAGGATAACCAGAAATCAATGAATGTATTTAGACTAGGTCATGATTTATACAAGTTCCATTTCCTATAGCCTATATGGAACAAGTACTTAAGAAATGAGCACTGCATTTGTTCCTTCAGCTGAAAACACAAAGCTGCCTTGATCCTCTTTAGAGGCAATTCAATGGGAGGAATTCCTAAGTCACCCTCTCAGCTTCTGGGGCACGGGCTTCCTCCTTTCTGTCATTCTGTTGAACTCTGTGGTTCTGTGCCAATTTTCTCTCTTTCTGAAAATGTGAGAAGATATTTATTTGTTCTAATTACTGAATATAATTGGGTTCTTTATTTTTAAAATGTCAGAGCCTCTACCTTGAACTGGAAAGAAGCTAAAAAGCAGAATTCTTATCCCATACTTATGTATTCTCCATCACTTTTAACAAGCAGAATGCCTTGCATGTAGTAGATAACAGTTCAATGAACTATTTCCATTTTTATTCCCTTAACATGATAGTCAACAGGTTTCTCCCCTGACCCTTTTGTTCAATGGCCCTACATAGTTGGAAGGACATTCCTTATCCCATAAACTTATTGGCAGTTCCTCTGATGCGTTGTCCCTTTTTTAAGCAGCATAAATAAAAATTTGAAACTCCAGTACTCTAAATTTCCAGCAAGAGTATCTATACATGCACTATAATTATATAATCTGATTTACTTCATTTCATATAATTTCATAACAAAGTTATATCAGACTTCAATAAATTTTACTTAAATTTAGTGAAATGTTTCAAATATCATTCTACGTGGTTGATCATAACCAGATTAAAAAGTTAACATCTGACTTTATAAAAATTCTAATGTAATTTTTCCTGGGCTTCCCAGATTCCCTAACTCTCTGAGTAAAAGCCAATAGCCCAGGGTCAGAATACAATCAATGTGGTAACAGAATTCTGCTAAGCTGACCCACTTAACAACAATGACCTAAGAGTGAATCAGGCATTAAAATTGTTTCCACTTAAGAAAAGGAGTGGTCTTTTCTAAACAGATTTTACAAGAAGAAACAAAGACATAATATTATAAACAATGTGTCAATATCTTCTTGGAAACCAAAGGCAATTGATCAAACAACAAAAATTATTTTTGTAAGCCAAATTTTGAGGAATGATTCCACTGAGGTGACATTTCTAGAATGATAATTCAAACTAGAACATAAGATATCTGCAATATTAGTGTTTATCAGGCTAGTTTCTTCAGAGGATGAGACGGTTGGATGGCATCACCAACTCAATGCACATGAGTTTGAGCAAACTCCAGTGGAGCATAGAGGAGCCTGGAGTGCTGCAATCCATGGGGTCGCCAAGAGTCAGACATGACAGAGCGACTAAACAGCAGCAAATCTAAAAATCACACATGCTTTGAGGTTTGACATTTCAAAAGGAAATTCAGCTATTTTATAGGATTTCTGTTTTGCTGTTCTTGTTCTTAAAGAAATGTTCATTGTTATTCCCACTTGATAAGAAACTTGGTGTAATTCTCATTTTGAGAG